CACTCAACTGCCGTCTCTCTTGTCTGGGTTCGCGGACATAGGAATATAGAGGGCAATGAGAAGAATGATGAATTGGTGAAGGCAGAAGTCTGTTCTGATGAATCTGAAGCGATGGCTATGCTTGACCTCTTGCAAAAGTCCATAGATGTACAGACCTGTAAGATATCAAGAGAACTATGAGCTGCTTCAATGTTAAGATATAAACATTTGGCGGACACCTAAAATGGTATATTCTACCCTAATGCACAAAGAAGGGAGTAAGCAGTACGTACATGTAGGAACTACATAACAACTTACTGTCCAATAAATGTCATTAAATACATAGTTATTACGATTACATTTTTTCAACCAAATTGAAAAAGAAAGTTTACCACTCAGCCCTTTTCACGTACATCTAGCGTAGATATAACTCACTTTTTTATCTTATGAGCATATCAACTTTAGCTCGCATACATATGTACACACTTATGTTATACTTATGAACATGCACACCGACTTTTTCTTACATTCACATCTTAACATAATCAGATATACATGCAACCAGGCAATGAAAGCTGACGGCAATCGGTCGTTAAGTATTTAGTCGCAATTATTATTTTTTATCAGACATGCACTTATGTGTACCGTACCTATGTATGTATGCATATGTTTTTAAGCGCATTTTGAGGCACTTGCATGACGTCGATAACAATGCAACAAATGAGAAAACAAAGTTAAAGAAATCAACAAAAACCAGTGGTTGGTGGTCGGTCAATGCGCGGTCAATAGCCAAAGCAATAAAACTCAGTAACGAGACAATGAAAAGATATGAGTTGAAATTATGAGTACGAAATGTTGTACTTTCAGAATGGCTGCCGAAAATATCGAAATCTTTTCCCACCTGCCTTTTTCTAAATTTTTTACAAAATGGGTTTAGCGAAAATTGGCAATGCAAATTTTTTACTTTGGTATTTCACATTGTAAAATTTACAAATTGTTTTCCTACATATTTACCCTGATCAAGGTGTGTATTGCGACATTGAAAGAGAAATTTTTGGCAATGACTTTAATTTTCCATCTAACTTTTTTGATGGTGCTTAGGCCGTCTTTTGATATTTTTATATATATACATGAATGTAGGTGGGATACTGACAATGACATTGGCTTCCAAATAGCTCAATTTCTTGGTGTTGATTTCCCAGCTGATATAATTGGCAAAGAAAAGCGAAATTTTATTGTTTTGTTTGCCGAAGTAGTACTTTCACTGTTTAAATGGATTTTCCTGAATCTAAAGTTTATTGCAGTTACAATTTTTCGCTTTGAAAATAGACAAAAAAAAAAATATACGTTTCAGTAAAACTTCATCCTAGGCTGGGTAGCGAAAAAGGGCGGTAATAGTCCTTCTACTTTGAAAGCTTACTTCGCGAAGTTTTTGGACTCACCACGTCCTAAAGCAGTTTTAATCGAATTATTAATGAGCTGTTTTTTTAATTGATTTTTAATCCAAGGGCCGAGACGAAAAGCATAGCCAATTGCTTCACTTCTTTGCGTAGTTGCGCCAGTTGGTCAACCAAAGAGCAGACACGCCTTCCGCACCTGGCTCTTTACATGCATATATGGATTAGTCGCGATTTTTGCAGGAATGTGCCAGGAAAATACGATTTGAAGTGCTGGAAAAATGACAAAAACTTAAAAATTGGTGTTGTAGCAGCATATTTGTTGCAGCAATAAAAATCACAGGAGTATCATAACAAAGGGTTATGATATTGTTTGAATACGACTGTTCTTCTTCTCATTTGGCGCTGTAACCGCCTAAGCGATTTTGACCGAGTTCAACAAACCAGACCAGTCGCTAGAGCTTAGAGCTATTATCTAAAAGTAAGTAGTCCAGCGTGCTTTTGATTTGCAATTATGTAACCATATTCATAAAAAGATTACCAAGAGTGATCAAAAAAAAATAAAAATTAGGCATACAAGTCATCGTTGACGTATGCTTATTTGTATATGTACTTTCATACATACATATATGTAGATGTACTTACGATAAACCTACGTTGGTTTGTTGAATCATGTCAAAAGGCTTACCTTGCTCGCAAAGGTTTATGTTCAAGGCTAATAGGATTACATTACAGCTACAATTGAAGTGTGTGTCTCTTTCATACTGAGATTAAAGTGCGCCATTGAATACGAAAAAGGGAATGAAAAGCAAAAATAAACAATCAAAGCTTATATTAAATATCAACAACTGACATTTAGTTAAAAAACGATGAAAGAGTTGAAAATATATCAAGCAAAAATCTAACAGAATTCGATCAAATCGATGCTATGTTAACAAATTGGTCTTTTAGTTATTTATTTTTCCTTGATACCATTTCGTTTAAGTAGAATTTGTTTGTATGTACCTAAGCCAAGTTTATCGCTTACAAAATATTTGTTAATAACTTAATAGGATTAAAATAAAAATTATTTGGTCACATTTCAGATAAGAACATACAGATACATACATAAATATATATGCACATACATGCAGTTGTATGTACACCATGTACACCCAATACTTGCACAGACCTTTGGCATAGTCTTAAAGCAAAATAAATATAAGGCGGATGTTGTCAATCAAGAGGACGTGGACAGTTGAGCGCTTGCGAGCAATTTAACTCTTTAGTTATGTATTTTTAAATTATTTTTGTGTTAAAAATATTTTCTCCGGCTCTTAGAACTGATGGAAAACAATTTTTATTCTTATTTTCGAAGGGCTGAAAAGAATCAATAACTAGCAGACTCGGCGAACTTTGTCCCGCCCAAAATAAATTTTTTTATTCAAACATTTTGGTCCCAGATTTGCTCCAACGTTCACATTCACCATTTCCAGTGGCACATTTATCTGATAATATTACAGTTTGGTCGTTGTCAGAAGGCATATTTCCATTGCCATATTAAATAATCTAGCGAAATTGTATGTCGATGAAGAAGTTCTTGAAATTCTTCAAAGATTTAACGGTGGTCATTTGGGATTGACCCCGAACATACATACATAAAAAGATAGGTAAACGTCTGAGTATGTTTGGAAGGTGCCACGCCCTTTTAAAATAGCCACCATTTTCTCTACGAATATGTGGGATTGATTTTATATAGATCCATACCAAGTTCCAGTACTCTACCATAAACATCTCTGGAAGTGTGTATGCAGTATGAAAAATTCGCATAGAATGGGAGGTGCCACGCCTTCTTTCCAATAAATCCCATTTTTTCCATGAGTATGCAACTGATTTCATATATGGCAAACCTAGGTAGATCTAAAGTGAGCTAACTCAAAAATCAGAACGGTCAATATAATAGATTGTGGATCGCACAGATTCAACGCAATTAATAGAAACACTGGTACAACAGTAGTTTTGATTTAGTGAAAATATATAATCATGCAGAAAAAATGTATACATTAATTGGAGCTAAGTCCTATGAATTGGTTTGTGCAAAAAAATCGTCCTAATTTTTTTTTTTGAGTTGATCGCGCTTTGATCTAGGTGTGCGACATCTCCATACCAAGCTTCAGTACTCAGCAAAGTCGATAACAAAATCGATAAAAATATCGATAACAAAATCGATAAAAATATTGATCACAAAATCGATAAAAAAACCGATGAAATATCGATAAAAAATCGATAAGACTAACGATAAATCGATAACAATAAAAATACATAACAAATTCGATAAAAACAAAAATGGTAACGGTATCGATTACAATATCGATACAAATATCTATAACAAAATCGTTAAAAACATCGATTACAAAATCGAAATAAATATCGATAAAAATTTCGGTATCAAAATCGATAAAAATATCGATAACAAAACCAATAAAAATATCGATAAATTCCGAAAATCTCTTAAATCCGAAATAGTTCCCAGATTGTCTCTGTGTCTCTATCTATATCCTTTTCTCTATAATTACCTTAATTATAATATTTCTTCCTCTATCTTCATCTTTTTTTTTTCTTTTGTCGGTATCCTCATCCTCATATTTTTCTTTATATTTATCTTTGTTTTTACTTTTGTAGTTGTAATTTTCTTCATCTACATATTCCCCTTCACCTTTGCCCTTATATGAGTAAAGTGTTTAAAGTTACTTTGACCTTCATTCTTGCATTTATCTTTACGCATATCTTTGTTTTTATTTTTATTTTTCTACCTTTGCCTTTATCCTTTTCTTTAGCTATGTACGCACTCACCTTTACTTTCATTATTGTATTGGTCTTTTTCTAAGTGTTATTCTTTAACCTTTTACTGGCAAGTTTTTGTTAAATTCATACCATCTGCATACACTCAAGAAACACTTGTTTCAGCCCCAACTATTTCCGTTGCACCATTTCCGTGTGCAATTTCCGTTGAATTTGCCAATTTACTCCTAACCAACCAGCCGCCGCTAGAGAAGTTTCACTTCAAAAATTTCATACAAAAGGTCAAGCCGTTTCGAAGGAGTTCGACCACAAACACCGTGACAAGAGATTTTTATGTATTAGAGTAGATGTAATAAATTTTTATTTTTCAACAAATAATTTAATAGCTGACTTCGTTGCACAACGGAAAACGGAATATGGTACTTTTGATGACCTAATGCATAATTTAAGTTAATAAATTTAAGTGTTTTTTGTAGTAAAGTTCTATAAAAATTATTTGCGATGATAAATCGAAGACTTTCAGACAAAAATTGTTTCTGTTAGAAATTTTAGGGATACTCTATTTATATATTTTACTCCTTCCATAGAATATTCCTAATTTTAGCTCAAACCAGAATTGGAACCAAATAGCTGGATGGGCAAAGCCAGCCTTTGAGATAAACCTTACCCAACCGCACCGTATTTTGTGTAACGTTACCAGTGCCCGAATTGTGTGAGAAAAAATGTTCACTGTGTATTGGACAGCTGAACTACAACCGAACTACGAGTTCTTTTGTGTTTCTTTTAATTTTTTATTAAACGTTCATTCTCGGTTTTTCTATTTATTCCGAAGTGGCGACTTACCATAAAATCGAGTACGTGCCAGGCCTTCGAAATCAATTTTAGGAAATCTGCAATAAACGAAAAAGGAAGCATATGAAAAAATTTGTGCAAATGACAAGTGGTTTTAACAAATAAATGCGTCAACCGTAATAGAATAATTAAATTAAATTTTAAATTTGTAACAAAATTTAATTAAGTTTGAATTTTAGTAATTGTAAAGTGGTATACATATGCACAAACAATTACATACATATGCATATGTATACAATACAATCAAGTTTTTACCAAGAAAAAAAGAAACAAAAATAAAAATTTGGTGTTATTTTAGTGGAGCAACGCTCGTGCAAAATTGCAATTAATTTTAAAGTTAATTGTGCGTGCGGCAGACAACCTACTAAGTGGCAAAACAACACATGCCAATTTATGGCTTTGAAGAAAGAAATACATACATATAACAGTGAAGCGAAAATAGGTATGCAAGTATTTGTAGTAGAAAATTTTGAGGCAGAGTAGAGTGAAAGAGACATAATTTATAACTTAAAGGCATCTGAGGAGGGAAGTGCCAGTGCAAAAGTGAATGCAACACTTTCGGCTTTCGTGGTTAACGCTACGAATATACTAATTATCAGAAAGATATGTGTGTAGCAATCGGTGTGCGAAAGTGCAGAATCGCTGGCTAGACGCAGAAACCCCCCTTTTTTACGCATACGTATGTACATACCTAAGTAGTTTTTAAAAAATATGTATCTTTGTATTAGTGAGTCAAAAGACAGTAACGCACAATGTATACACATTAGTTACAATGCCTCTAGCTAACTTGCAACATTCTTGCCTACTGACCGCCAACGCACATCACTCCCATCTGTGCGCCATCAACCACCACCTACAAATGCCAGCGCACAGTGGTCCAAAACAAGAATTTACTCTTCAAAATTGTGCCGAGTATTCATTTGTGAATCGATTGGATATTTTTTTTGTTTTTTTGTATGAAAGCTAATAATATTTAAAAGAGGCCTGCTGAGCCCGATTTTAGATTTTTTATTTTTATATATTTTGAAGAAAATACAGAAACTAGTAGAAAACAATTGTAGAGTTCTTCAAAATTAAGAAAAATTCTCATGTAAGATTCGAAATGTAAAAAAATTTTCCCCGAAATTATTATTTTTTGTTTTGATTTTTATACAATTTACAGTTTTTTAGCTCATTAAATCTTAGTATGAGTATTTCCCTGAAAGAAAAAAAGTTAGAAGGAAAAGTTTAGTTTGTTAAAAAAATTACCAAAATTGCCATTTTTGCAAAATTTTAAGAAAAACTTTAGGTATGCAGTCTTATAGCCCCTTAAATTTTAGCGCATGAAGTGCAAATTTTAAGTGGCTTAGAATTCGCGTTGATTTTTAATATTTTTTTTTTCTGCCAGTGCTAAGCATTTTCTTCTGTGTAGGCATAAACTGGGGTGAAAATATGTATTAAAAATCAACACGAATTTCTAGCCGCTTGAGACTTGCATTTTAAAATATTATAAAACTGCATAATTAAACTTTTTGTATAGTTTTGCAAAAAAAAACTATTTTCCAAACTAAACTTTTACTTTTTAATTTTTTTCCTTTCAGGGAAATCCTAACTATAATTGTTTTTAACGAGTTTTTTAATACGTGATATTTATTAAAAGGAACGGGAAATTTGAATTTTTTTCCAAATTGTCACTTTCTCTTAAAATTCAAAAATTGGACTCAACAGTTGGCTTTTAAATATTATTAGCTTACATTTAAAATTAAAATTAAAAAAATTTATTGAACTCGATTGAAAAATTAAGGCTCTGGCCTATTTGGCACAGCAAAGTCCAATTTCGGACCACTGTGCCGCGATATATGTATGTAAGATATGCTTCATGTAGCATGCAGAGTGAACTTTGCTACATACCTACCATGAATCTGTGATTTGTTGCTTGTTTTGTGCTTGGCTATAGTATTGCAAAACAAATATCAGTTAGTAGATGCTTAATAAATGGTGTTTGTTGTTGTTATTGTTGTGGCTCTGCGAATTGCAGTTTGCAGAAATTCTTAATTTATTGCACTTGTACGCGATTTATTAGAGCAGAAAGAAGCGGCTAGCTGCGTGAGGCATGCACAACACCACAGTGGCTAATATCAGTATGTATGTATCTATGCATGGTGGTTTTGTGGTTGCATTGCAGCGTATTTTCAAGTAGGTGGACATGGTTTTTGATCGCTAAAATATTTCATTACATCTGCGGCACTATAGAAAAGCCTACGAAGCAATAAAAGTTTAGCGTTTGCAGTAGCAATGAATTGGTGGTATGAATTGCAATTTTATTTGAGTAAATTTTTTTTTTTGAAAAGAAGCTAGCAAAATCAATGTCAACTTGTTGTTATCAACAACATTACGCGAAGGTTAGAAACATCTTTTAACTAACTAGCCAAGGAAACTTCGAAGGCAATGGTAAGTAAATAATCTGATTTATCAATGCTTTCTTTCTTTGGTTAAGTTAGTAGCTGCAAGCTGTTTTTTTAATACTTAAATTTTTTTATTCTAAATTAGATATTGAAAAAACTTCTCCTCATTTAACAAATGCATAGAACCATTTACCAACAAAAAATTGTATAACAAGTATTTGTCAGTACATATTTACAGTGACCCACAATAAAAACACACCGTGACATTCTTACAATATTCGCTATGTTTTTTCATTCCAAATTTTTTTTTTTCATTACTAGTTTATAAAAGTATAAATCTAAGTTGCAAAATTTAATGCAAAAATTAGAAAAATTTGACAAAGTTTAATCAAAACTGCCAACTTTTTCATTAGAGTTTCTAAAAAAAATTTTAATAGGCAGATGTGTAGCCTATTAAATTTTAAAATAATAGATTATAAGTTCGAAGTCGCTGAAAAAGTCCGTTGAATTTTGAAAACATTTTTGCTGATGGGTCTATATATTTCTTCCCTACAAAGTACGTTAGGAAATGCACAACACCGTCAGCAAAAAAAAAAATATCATAAATTAACGGAATTGTTTAGCGACTTCGAACTTGGCTATAAATCGGCATACCAAAATTTTTTCTACAAGTTCTAATTCAGTCTGCCGCTAAAATAGGTTAAGAGAAAATGGAGATGCCATACTTGATGTCGGCTAAAAACACAAACAAATACTCGTTATATCGATACTGACTTCGATATATTTGCAGCTATTACCATAGATATATTTTTAGTGATAAATATTTACTATAATAGGGTCGTAAAAAAGGATTGTGGAAGAATAAATGGTAATAACTATTATTACTCATGTGTGTTTTTGTATACTGCACTTCAACTCTTAAATTGAACGACATTACTTAAACTTACTGATCTACATAATCATCGAAGCAAATTAATATTTTAGTTGAGCTTATTAATAGTTTTAGTCTAGTTTTTGCATTTAATGTAACTGACATAAATCATTATGTCTGGAAACATAAGCCCCCAGTGAAGAAAAACATTAAACCAACACTTTTTGTGCAATATTTTACCGCCTAAATAAATTGCAAGTCGTACTCCTTTCAAATCTTGCCTAAGGCTTTGTGCCAATATAAGCTCAGCAGATTACAAACTTGTGATTAGCAAAGCGATCGAGTACCTAACACATTTAAATAAATAGCAATACATAGTGTGTGCATACGTATGTCTGCTTGCCGTCGTGACTTTGCTACATGAAAAATGCGCAACTTATTTCGAAAGTGCAAGCAAATACCTGAAATTATTTTGTGTTTGTAATTGATCTCAACATTTGGTGTAAATGTTGACCGAAAACACGTAAATCTACCGTAAATAAACTGGCCGAAATTCCTCTAAGGCTAGACGATTGCAGAAATAACAGCAAGTGCGTTTAATTGCGTAAATATTTATATTCGCACGCAGGTGTAAAATGTACAGCTTTCGATTTGGGCAATGTGTGCTACATTTATAAAATGTGATGCATAGTTATGTGCTCGCAAAAAAAAAGTGAATGTACCAAAACAAGATGGCAATCCATACAAATCCAGCATTGAATTTTAGGGTTTTGAATGAAAAATTATATGAAGCTCTCATTTAATAGGTTTCGAATGTGAAATACTAAGTGATGAATGACAACGAATAAAAGCAAACAATTAAATATTTCAAAGCACCATATACTAGTATATATAAAAGTCTTTATCTGTGACGACTGAGAGCTGAACAATTTTTCGACCTCCCGTGGCGTTGTTGTCTATGTTGCTTATAGAATTGTATCTTAGAATATTTGCACATTTTTTGGTAATATCATTTTACTGCTGCGATTTCTGCTTATTTTCTCTAGTCATTTACGTACTTTTGCTGTTAAAAAGTTCATACAGTTCGTCATTCCATCTTCTCCGTTACCCGTCGTCCATGCAAACAGAGTTTTAGATCTTGCGTAGAATAGTTCTTTCGAAAGCACCCAAAGCCTTCTTATCGTTGTTCGACATCGGCCACGTTTCTATGGTCGAACAAGTATTAGGAAGAAATTGTATAGCGAGATTTTTCTTCGTCGAGAGGGGTCTCTGCTTTTCAATTGCCTACCGAGGCTAAAGTAGCACCTTTTCATAAAGCGTAATAAATCTTTTGACCATCACCTAATAAATTGAATTGCAATTAATTGAAGAAAAACCATTGGCAATCGAATCAGCAATGCCAGAGTATTAGACAATATGTATGATAAAATCTAGAGGCAGTCGTAGACAAAATGAAGCCACAAAATTATGTGGTTTAGACAAATGTATGAAAACGTTCGTGCGCGCACATAATGCAATTACAAAATTTATTATACGTCCATATATTGATATCCAAAGGCAATGCTAAACATCAAAGTATGTATTATTAAATGAATCACACTTTGTGGATGGATAATTTTTGTTACGCATATGACTTTGGGGTTTTCGTAAGCCAGCTCGAAGGTTGCTTTGCGTTAATTTCGTTTTAAATTACTTACTAATGACACTGAATTGTAGGCTTTAAGAAATATTTATTACACAAATGTTCATGCCAATATATCTACTACGTTTATGTGTGTAAGTA